CAATTGATATTAGAGCATTTTGGTTGTGGCATTTGGGGTTTTCTAAAAGATTTAACTTCATTGACCACAAGACGTGCTCACACTCACCATCAATTATAGAAGACACGTTTCTAAACAAGCGTGGTTCGATTGATGAGAAGTTTATAATGAGAAACTTGTCTTCGATAATTGATTGTGAGTGTGAGCACGTCTCGTGGTCGACTTCATCAGAATATCCCAAATGCCTCAACCAAAATGCTCTGATACCAATTGTTGATAAAAACGGATCGATCGCACTCACACACCCACAAATAGAAATTAAACAAAGAGACAAAGATTCACATGATTCGGAGATAAAAAATTCCCCTACATCCATGGGTAGTAACCAATCTCAATAATCCAAGCGTTTACAAAGTGTATACCTCACACTCTCACACTAGTGTCTCAACAAAGTTCCTTCCAAATGTCACTCAACCAATACAAAAGAACACTCAAACTCAATACATCTCAACTATCGTAGAGACCCCTCTATATAGGCATAGAAACATTAATGTCATATAATCAAGTTGATTCATGTATCAGATGAACTAAAAGGATTATGAACCAAGTAAATAAGAGTTATGAACCAAAAAGGGTTATTCAACCTAATAGATCAGAGTCATGAACCAAAAGGGTTATTCAGCCAAATAGATCAGAGTCATGAACCAAAAGAGTTATTCAACCAAATAGATCCGAGTCATGAACCAAAAGAGTTATCAACCAAATAGATGAGAGTCATGAACCAAAAGGGTTATCAACCAAATAGATGAGAGTCATGAGCCAAATAAATGACCATAGGGGGTGCAATTATTCCTTACCACTTACTCCTTGTTTGGAGAAATAAAAACTGACCATCACTCCTACCCATATAATTGGTATAATATTTGAAAATGAAAAAGAAAATATGTCTTTTCAATTTTCAAATTAAAGAAAAGTTCATAATTATTTTAAATGTTTGTAATCAAATATCATATAAGCATATTTAGAAGTTTGAAATTTGGTTCTTAAACTTCTACACACGTTAAACACATACCAAAGGTTTCAAGTGATTCATTTACTTTCTAGAGAAGATCCAAAACCAACTTCAATTACATTCCTTTCAAATCTTCCCCAAATGAAAATTTTAAAAGTAATTCCCTTGTTTCAAACCACACATCATTTCTTGATTTGTCTAAAGTAACCCTCTAAAGATACTTCTTTTAATCACCAAACGTCATAGAATTTTCAAAAAATCACTTACTCAAATTAAAATCACATAAAAAAAATATTATTTATCATTTTTTACTTAGGTACAATATGTCAGATGAATATGACTCTCGATTGATATTGTCTACTTTGAGCATAAGCTCTCATGACTTTGCTTTGAGCTTTCTCAAAAGACCTCATACCAATAGATAAAATATTTCTTAATTATAAACCTATGATCATTCCCTAAATTAGTTTAGGTGCTACTTTTATCCAACACAAGTAGGTTTTATATAAATTTTTTTACATATAAATTTAAAATAAATGAAACAAGAAAATAGAAATATTATCAAATAGTCCCTAAATTAATAATTCTTAGGAAAAGATAGTCATAAAAAAGTGATTTTAATTCTTCAAAAACATTTTAAAAAAAGTTAAAATCAAGAAAAACCCTAAAACATGGTTTCACCGTTGATGAGAAAAAAAGAAGGTAACAAACTGATATAATATTATATATATATAGAGAGAGAGAGAGAGAGTCAAACCAGTATAATGAGTTCTCTTTCATCATTCTGCAGTACCTGACGCTCCGTCTTGTCATCTGCCATTAATGGCTGAACCCGCGGCGGCAACGGCCCTGGACCAAACCCAAGGCGATCAGAACTTTCCAGTTGCTCGACCTTCGGCCATTCATTGGACGACTGCACCACTGTTGCTGAAGACGGCAATGACAATGGCGCTGCCGGTGCGCTGAACGGCGCTCCCCATCGGTTGTGTCTGTGGAAAATATAGCCTCGAATCGCCATCTCTCGTTCGAACAACACTAGTTCTCTCCTCGCGTCCTCTTTCAGAAACTGCTGTCGTTCAATCTCCACCAGTAATTTCTCTTTTCTCAATCGCATCAACTCCATCTCGCAATGCATCACTTCGTCGGTATCGAACGGCTTTCTATCGGCGATGATATTCGTGCTTCCTCTGAGACAGGCGTCTGTTGAATCCATCAAGAAATCGAAAATAAAAAATCAATAAAAACAGAAAGAGTGAAGAAAACGAAGAGAAGTCTGAGATTCCTCAAATGCTTGATCTACAGTACAACGGTTAGACAAACAAAATAAAAAAGAACTTATGAGATAATCCATTCGGCTACCGAGAAAAACGCATAGAGAGGGGAAATCGTGCAGAACAAAATTCTCACGACTTCTTCTTCCGTAATCGAAAAGAGTAAAATTAGTCACAAAAAAATGAAAGTAGAACTCCTTTCCCTAAAATTTGAATTCCTTCCAAATTTCAGATCGTAATCAAATTACTCATCGCAAAAGCTAAATACAGGCCACAGTTCCAATGCAATAAAAAAATTACTCTATTCCAAACAAAACTATTCACTATCCGAAACATCCAAAACCAAAAGAAATATTAAAGCCAGAGCCTCTCCAGTTCCTTCAACTCCGCTTGATTCTCACAGAGTCCATATAGATTTAAACACAAACCTGAAAATCCTTGCTTAGATAAGCAGTGAACAGCCGGCGGCCAAGGTGAAGCATACTGCAGCGCCGGAGTCGGTGGCGGTGGTCGATGATCGCCGGCACGGAACCTGAACTCCATTGTCCGATCACGGAAAAAGAAAAATCAAAGAAGGAGGCGGAGGAGACGGATTCCGGAGAGAGGCAGAGGCGGAAGGCTAAGCATAACGGAAAAAGAAGAAGAGGATCTTAAGCACCGCCATTGATGAGCGCGTGAGAAGGAGAGGTGCAGTAGAGAAAAGGGGAGAGAGAACAGAGGAATTCATTTTGTGCGTACGTTTCTGATTCAAAAATTCACCACTCTCATCCTTAAATTAAGGGATTCTTTTTTTTCTTTTATTATTAATTTTTTAAAATTCCTTTTTATTTAAGATATTTATTTCTTTTCCTTTTTTAAATTGGATACTTTTTTTTCACAGCCAGGTAAATGCATAGATTCATTTTTTAAAAATAATTTAAATTTTACCTTTTTATTTTTTAATATAATTTATGTTAAAAAATATAAAACATTCTTAAAAAATTTATGGATATGGAAAGATAATTATATAATATATATGGTAAACTATAATACTCGTATCTTTTAACATATTCAATAATATTTAATAATATTTGGTCAACAAAAATATAATATAATATTAACCTATTTTTTAAAATTAATATAATTTTTATCGGGTTTAATAACGGTATAACTCTCCCTGCTCTCCCCCTATTTCTTATATAATAACAACAATTTAATAAAATTATCGCTTTTTTAAGCTTAATAATACATCGTTTAGAAGGATTATATACGAATTTGAGGAAACGTTGAATTTAGTCAATTTATATATGGATATCTATGAATACAAATTGTATAATAATTTTTTTTTTTTTAATTTGAAGTGGAAAATTCAATTTTTTCCATTATGTTCAAGGTGTTGGATGATGAAAGTCCCACATCGGTTAATTTAGGGAATGATCATGGGTTTATAATCTAAGAATACACTCTTCATTGGTATGAGGCCTTTTGGGAAGCCCAAAGCAAAGCCATGAGAGCTTATGCTCAAAGTGGACAATATCATTCCATTGTGGAGAGTCGTGTTCGTCTAACATGGTATCAGAGCCATGCCCTAAACTTAGCCAACAAAGGACTCCAAAAAATCAGAGCCATGCCCTAAACTTAGCCAACAAAGGACTCCAAAAAGGACTCAATGAGGGTGGAAAGGTGTGAAAACCTTTCCCTAGCATACATATTTTAAAAACTTTGAGGAGAAGCTCGAAACGAAAAGGTTACCCACAAACACCCTTACTTTTATCATTTTTATGACATATTAAGTAGGGGTATTCTTGTCATTTTTAATTTTGTAGTTCATTACATTTCATTTCATGAGTGGCTACTCTGTGTTTTCCTCCCCAACCAATGTGGGACATCACAATCCATCTCCTTCGGGGCCAGCATCGTTGCTTGAACTTTTTCCTTCCTCCAATCGACGTGAGACTGTCGCCAAATCTACCCCTTTCGGGGCCACCATCCTTATTGCACACCTCCTCGTATCTACCCTCTTTGGGGAACAACGAGAAAGCTGGCATATCGTCCAACACTTGACTCTGATATCATTTGTAACGGCCCAGATCCACCACTAGCAAATATTGTTCTATTTGAGCTTTCCCTTTGAGGTTTCTCCTCAAGGCTTTACCGTGCATATGCTAGGAGAGGTTCCACACCCTTATAAATGATATTTTGTTCTCCTCCCCAACTAATGTAGAACATCTAGCATCAATAGACAACCCACCCTCTATAGAGATATTGCATTTTTATTTTTTATTTTTAAAAATGGTTCACTAAAGAATTAAAGAAAAAGAAAAGAAAAAAGAGTATAATTTCCAATAAAAAAGTATCCTAATAAATCTAATAATATTTGATTAAAAAATAATATATATAATATTAAACGGGTGGAGAATTAGAGCTGGGGCGAAGAAGGAATCCTCGTTCTCGATCTCGATTAGCCAACAAGAGATCTCTCCCTTTTTTGCTTCGGTTCCTAATTTAAATAAGAATTTCTATTCAATTTAAAGACCCGTTAGACTTTGGAGTTAAATGGACATGTATAGTGAAGAATTATTAAGGGAGGACGAGAATAGGCTAGATGTCTATTTAATTAATAAATAAATTATTATTTTTTTCAGGGAAAAAAAATAATTTTAAATGAGAAATAATGAAATAAAATAATAATTAAAAGAAAAAAAAAGAAGTGTTAATAGCATGAACAATCTTCGCAACTCCTTACGAATCAAAATCAAGCACTTCCACAGCTCTCTCTCTCTCTCATTTCTCTCCAAGATCGAAAATGGCGAACAGATGTGAGATCTTCTGCGAAATTCTCATCGCCATTCTTATTCCTCCTCTCGGAGTCTGCCTCAAACACGGCTGTTGCACGGTAATCTTAATTCTTCTTCTTCTTCTTCTTCTTCTTCTTCTTCTTCTCCGTCTCTCTGTAATTTCCTTCGCTAATCTGAACTTACGATTACCTAAAACAGCCGACGAGACGATCTGATCTAAAACAGACGAAATTAGGTTTCAGTTTCGGTTTAATTTTGTGTGTAATTGCAGGTGGAATTTTGTCTCTGTTTGATTTTGACTCTGCTCGGTTACATTCCGGGGATCATCTACGCTCTCTACTCCATCGTGTTTGTCGATCGCGATCATTTCTTCGACGAGTACAGGCGTCCGCTCTATTCGCCGGTGCCGACGGTGTAGAACAAGTTTGAATCTCTTCTTCACTCTGTTTTAATTTCTCGAATAAGGTTTATTAACTGTTTGGTTGCTTTTGGATATGATTTGATTTGATTTACATAGATTTTCTGAGGCTTGCTCTTACTGATTTGGAGTTTATTAGGGAGTATTCGGATCATTTGTTCAAGTGCTTAGAAAATTGAAATATCAATGGCGTTTGGTTTTGAGTTAAAGAGATTGAAGTGTGTTCTTATGTAGAAAGAAATATAGGTATTAGCCATGTATTGTAAGTGCAACAAAGATCATTAAAGAAACAAGCAAATATCATTCATCTAAGTTCTAGTAATAAACTAGACTACTATTATATGCACATGACCCATTAACACTTGTTGTAACTTCTAGTGATGTAGATCGACCTCAACGTGGAAGTTGTTCGAGAAGATGACCACATATGATACACGAGCTTGTCGTTCATTTTTTTTTTTCTTTTGTAGAAAATAAGAAATGTTTTATTATTTTGAAATAATTGTTGATGTGTTATCTTACAATACTTTGTACTAATACTTCGTCTGTTCTTATCTTTTTTCCATACTCAAAATTGGAAGAAAAGAATATCGAGTAAATAAATGAATATCACCATTCAATATTTCTCGGTAAATCAAGCATCCAAAGATGGTTTTAATGTCAATAAAAAGTTAAAATGGAAGTTGTATTTTATCCTTCCATGTTCACAAAATTCCTCATCGATAATTAAAGCATTGAAGTTTGTTGCTTTAAAGTTTGTGCATAACGGCCCCAAAGCAAAACAGGCACCAATTTGATTAGGGCAGTGGTGATTTAGTGGCAGTGGGCGGCAAAGTTGCTTTGCTACCTATTCCGTTAGGAACTGCAGATTTTTTGGTACATCATATTCATGTATTTACAATTTAGGTAACGGTATTAACACTCCTAAAAGGTATTCTATTTTCTCGACAAATACCTAAATGAATGAGCATGTTTTCTTATTTTTGAAGGTCACATTCTTTTCCTTCAAATAAAAAATTTTATCGTACAAATTGATACATTAACAGAAATATCATCGGCTCATATAAATTCAATTAGTAACAATAGAATAAAAAAATGTAGAAGTAAAAGTTCTCATATTCTACTCATGAGAGAAGTTAAGTTCAAAGTTTCAAAAAAAAAAAGCTATATTTTATTGTATTTTTAAATTTTCTTTCTTATAACATTTTTAATAATACTCTCATAAACGTCTCAACTTTCAAATATATATATAGAGAATTACAACATTAATGATATTTTATTAAACATGAAGTACTAAATTGAAACTTTCATTTTCATACCAGATGGATATCTCTTCTTCCAACTCCGATCCAACCTTTTATTCCTAAACACCCAAGAAATGGCAGAGATGTCGTCGGAATCATCATTGGCGTCGCCGGCATGGGCGGAGCTGACGCACGAATGCCTAACCAACGTCTTCTCTCGGCTCACTATGGAGCAGCGGTGGCGCGGCCCCATGTTAGTGTGCAAGCACTGGTTCCATGCCGCCACCGACCCCTGTCTCTTCTCCCACTTCGACCTGGAACCCATGTTCGACTCCGCCCCCACCGAGTCGCCGGCCTGGTGGACGCCCCGGTTCGAGACCAAGATCGATTCCATGCTCCGGTCTGTCGTCCATTGGAGCCTTGGTTCGCTCTCTGTTCTTCGGATCAGACACTGCTCCGATTCATCTCTCGATTGTGTGGCTCAAAGGTAATTTAATTTACTGACCTTCTCATTGCTTCTTCGTGTTTTTATGGGTGAGGATGGTTTGTTTTAATTAGGGCAAAGTTTTGGTTTTCCCAAATTCTCTCCTCCTGTTAGGTGTTTTTCCCGATTCAGGAACCACTTAGGCGATTAGTCAATGATGCAATATCGCTTGATTTTTGCATATGTTTTCACCAGTCATTATGCAGTTTCTTAGAATAAAAATTGCTGGATTTCATAATATCCAAGATGGGCTTTGGGATGGGATGGATAAGTAAATCCTAATTGGCTACTTGTGTACTATGATTCCCATATTTGGAGAGGGGAATAAAACAATCCTAATAAGAGTGTGGAAATCTCTCCCTAACAGACGCTTTTTAAAACTGTGAGAGGGAAAGCCCGAAAGGGAAAGCGCACAGACTATATTTGCTAGCAGTGGGCTTAGGTACAAGGGAGTGGATTGTGAGATCATCAGTTGGAGAGGGGAATGAAACATTTATAGTAACGGTGTTGAAACCTTTTCCTAGCCACATTTTAAAACTTTGAGACGTTTTAAAACGTTGAGGGGAAGCCCAAAAGGGAAAATCCAAAGAGGAGAATATCTACTAATGTTAGCTTGGACTGTTACAAATGGTATCAAAGCCAGACACTAGACAGTGGCAACAATGTGCCAGCAAGGATGCTGGCCCCCAAGGGGTAGATTGTGAGATCCGATATCGGTTGGAAGGAGAAACGAAACATTCCTAATAAGGCTAGCAAAAACGTTTTAAAACCTTAAAGGAAAGCCTAAAATGAAAAGTTTAAAAAGGACAATATCTGTTAGCGGTGAGTTTGGGCTGTTACGAATGCGGAGAAGGATTTCTTCATCTTCTTTTAAGTTAAATTAATAAAAAGACCTTTGCACTTTGTTGACCCACCATGGATCATTTGAGTGGCATAAGGTGGACATTGTTAATCTTAGTGGGTCTCTGAGGCCATAAGTTTGTGCTTGGAACAAATCAAGCAACGACATTTAGCTGAAATGTGTGCAAGCTAGCATGAAAATACGGGATTATCAAAAGAGGAAAAAGAAATAGAATTGGTTATAGCTCGAATTAATGGCCTACTACTACTTCACATTTTAGGTGCCCAAACCTTGAGGTTCTTTCCATCAAGAGCTGCCCCAATGTTACTGATAGATCAATGGCTAAGATTGCTCTTGGTTGTCGAAAGCTCCGAGAAGTCGACATAAGCTACTGTCATGAAATCTCGAACATATCTTTGGCGTTGATTGGCAAGCACTGTTCGAATATCAAGACTCTAAAACGGAACTTTTTTAATAATCTAGATACTTCCCAACATATGGGAACTGTCCCTGACAGTTATCTAAATGCCTGCCCTCAAGAGGTGGATTCAGAAGCTGCGGCTATTGCAAAGTTCATGCCCAACTTGGAGCACCTTGAACTCTGCTTCTCTAAACTATCTGCTAAAGCTCTTAGTTTGATATGTGAAGGATGTCTAAACCTCAAGTACTTGGATCTGTTTGGGTGTGTGAACTTGACAAGCCGTGATATAGCAAATGCTACATCAAAATTGGAGAATTTGGAGGTTAGGAAACCGAGTTTCGATATTCCAAGGCCAGTCTTTCACACGGAGAGGTATGGTCATTGGAGGTTGTATGATGAGAGATTCCAAACCGATAGTTTCCGACTTTGATGGAAATGCTCTCCTAAAACTATATCTATCCCTGCATCTAAAATCAAGATCAGTGTTGTTTTTCTAAGTTGTTGAACTGTTCTTAGTTTATCTGTTCTGTTTCATACAGTCACAAGTTGTTACTTTCTTTTGAACTTGTATGATGGATTATTGTATAACTTGTAATTAACATTTTCTACAGATCCTTCATGTTATTGTTTCCCTGCTTGTGTGAATTTTTTTTATTCTATATTCTTCTTAACCTCTTATCTCTCTCCTAATCACTAGTCCCACTTCCCCGAGGTGGTCTTAGGATGGGTCAAGACTCAAACCTCTATCTCGTTGAGTGTCTGAACCAAATTGCATGCATCTCAATTATTCTCATGAAACAATAACCTAATCATCATAGTTTGAACTCATTTCTTGTAAGATCTTTATTTATTATATTGGTTCCACTCTAGCTATCTCCTACCTCACTATTGTTGGTAGGGGAGGGTTGGTTAAGGCCATGTAAGAGGTGGGGCCTATTGAGCTCGGGTAATGTTACTAGTCCTGAATGAATAAATCATGAAAGTTATAATATTATCGAGTCGTTTTATCTTTATTTTTTTCTGTTGTTAATATTGAGTAACCCTCCATTAAGTTTTTATTGTACATGTATGGACTTTCACCTCATTAGCATCAAAACTTATGGGTAAACCAATCATGGAGCTTACAAAAAAAAAGTTACAGAAGAACAACTCAGCATACCTGGTTTGGCTAGCTTTAATTCAGTGAACTAAGTCGTCTAGGATGTCTGGCTTGAGCTCCCGGAGTCCCTGAATGTTGCTAACTTGATTAGCCAATTCACCGGTGACACGGTCCATGTATAGTAAGTATACCCCATTTCTGCTTTCCAAGAGTTTTAAAGCTTTCTTGGCGTGTAGAATGGATATCACCCACTCTTCGAACAGCACTGCAATTTGGGAAATTTCATATCCAATTTTGAATACAATACAATAACAATAACATATTTCCCACAAATAATTTTAGCGAATGTATTTAATAAGTACTTTTTAAAATACTTCTTAACTTTTAAGTGCTCTTCAAATTTTCAAAATCCTTTTGAAAATCAAACATCATAAAAGTTTGAAATGCATTCTTCATTGACTAAAGACAATGTTCATCATTTTGTACAACAATGTTCATCATAGAAGTCCAAGAATGGGGTTGGGAAAGGAGAAACTAATGAAGCCGAGAAGAAAAGACAACTATGGCAGTAAGGAAAAATAATACTTACAGCTGTTGAAGTTTTCATCCTTCGACCAGATTGGTAAGTAGTCCAATATCAGAAACTCAATAAGTTGAATCCTGTTTACCATAAAATGCTCCATGTCATGATGTGATGAGGACGCAGTCGTAATTAAAGGTTTGACAAGGTTTGACAATCAAATCAACTCTTAGAAACTGCATTTTTGAGTTCAATATACGTGGAGTGATTTAACTTATTTAGTTATTTCAACCAAAGCTTACTTTTCAAACTACACGACTCATAAATTAAACACAAGCTTTATAATTTAGGTTTTGTAACATTTTTTTGGTATAATCCAATAAGTTGTTTATATAGTTTCCCTACTTAGTTATTATTCTAAGTGCATAATGATAATGAAAAAAATGACTATGCCACTGAAAAACAGCACAACTAAGCTGAATTTGAACTACATACAAATATCCAATAGCATAAACAAATCTAAAACATTTTGCCAGATTACTTACATTACGAACAAGCTTTCATGTAAGCTGGGAAAATTGTCATCGAATGGATCCATAAAGAGCAAACTCTCTCCCGCAGCAGAAATTCTTTGGGACACAGAAATTACTGCCCGTTGCCCTATGAACGGCTCACGTCCAAGCTCGCGGACCAACTGCTGTGTATAGAATCGGGTGTTGAAGACAGAGTTTTCTGATTCTGGACCGAGAGTGAGAGACAGAAAGGAAGTATTAAAAGAGAAAATGGAATATACAAAATGACACTATCATTGAGAAGAAGAAAGCATAGCAAATTTATTTTCAGGTCAATAAAATAATATGAACAGTGAATACATTATGAAGTGATCTGCAATACAACTATTGTAATGACATTGATAACTTAGTTTAATCCAACTAATTAAAGTATATATCTTTAACTAAGAAATTGAAGTTTGAATCTCCAACTCCACATGTTAAACTAAAAAAGAATTGTGTAATAGAAAAGTTACATAGAAAAGTAAAGGAATTTACCATCTTTCAGAGGAGAACACATTCTTCTGATTAAACGCATTATCAAGCTTGTAACAATTCCTTCAATAAGTTCCACGTTCCTTCCCCTTGGTAGAAGATCCTTCAATGAAGCTTCAAGAAACCAATAACATTCTTTTAAGGGTCATATAGTACCCTTATTCATTTTATTTAATACAAAATCAAAATTTTCATTAACATTCACTGAAGTTGTGAGAGTCTAGAGGCTTCTAGACGATATGCCAATGGGAACGTTTGTTTTCAAAAAGTTCAACCAAAATTTTCATTAACATTCACTGAAGTTGTGAGAGTCTAGAGGCTTCTAGACGATATGCCAATGGGAACGTTTGTTTTCAAAAAGTCCTTTCAAATGATACGGCAATCATATGAATCATCACCTAGAATGAAATTAACCGCTTGATGAGCCCAAATTTTGAAGGTGGCCTCCCCTACCTGTATGAAATAGCATAGAATAAAATCAAGAAAACGACGCATTGAGTTAAATAAATCTAGAAATAAATAATTTTGTAATTGGTATAGTATAAGAACAATGAGGGAAGGTGCTGTAGTTTCTAAACGAAAAGAACCCAGAATAACAGAAATGATGCTCTCATACTGGAGAAAAAGTGTCGCAAAGCTCCACAAGAAAATCCACTGAAGATCGAAGATGCTCAACTTCATCAACTTCATTGAAGTCTGAAATGAGAACAGATGAGAACAAAATAAAGTTGAGCGAGAGAGACAGATCGTCATGTATGATAAACAGAAGGAACATTTTACATGAAACTGATCTCCATGCCGATCCCCAAAATTGTGAATTACTTTTTAAATAAGCTTTGATGCATTAATGAAATCGACTACTGAAGTCATCACCGAAAATGGCACTTAAACACAGCATATCTAGAAAAAGCAATGTCCCTAGCCTGTAATAATGTACCTAAGAGTCGCTTCCGATGAACTCCACTGTCTAATTTTCTCCTCCGTTCCCTATAACGCACTATTACGACAATTTTTGAAACGTTAGGCAGAATATTGGCTTAAAATTAGCAGATGAGGACGAAAAATGCGAGGAAAATACCTTGTCTGAGAAATCTCCGGCGTAAGACATCATTAAATCTGTTATCTATATCATGTTCGAGCCGCTTAGGGTTCGATTTCGCCAGATTATCAAAGAAAAAACACTTGCAAGTGGCATTTTGGGAAAACAAATCATCATGCGAAGCATCTAAAACGAAATCATCATAACGACACACAATGAGTTTCAGAAAAAAAAAAAAAAATTAAAAAGGAAGACGAGGAGACTATTATACACAGACCTTCAGCTTGCTTCAGATCTTCTCTCAGCCTAATAAGCTCTTGCTTCCTCTCCTTAGCCTAAAACTCCCACTGATCTTCAATTAGACTTCGCAATAGAGAACGAAAATAACAGAAACCAAAAATAAAAAGAACAAACATATAGAAGGACCTTTTGCTTCCATCGGAGAGCGTCGGAATCGGAAGGAGGATGGGAAACGACAGGCTGCTGCTGCTGTTGCTGCTTCTGAATGGCCTTGGAGCGAAGAAGAGATATGGCTATGGCGAGCTTAAGTGACCGATCATCGATTCCCCCGTTTGCCACCGGCATTTGACTCCGGGCGTCGGCGACTGACATTCCTGGTAGAAAACAACCGAAATGTAGCGCGCTCTATGACGAAAATCTCGGCGGATTGAAGTTTCAGTTTGACACAAAAATAATGTAGCCCTAATTCATGTGCATGGAACACGAATTTGATGCTGTCAAAACGACTCTCTCGTCTCCTCCATCTACCAACCGTTGTCGCCACCAGCTCCTCTCTTCCCCCACCGGCCCGTCTATAAATACAGCGCGTTTTCGCGCTTCTTTTTCAATTTTATTTTAAAATACCTCCACACCTATAGGGATGTATATCAAACCCGACACCCTGACCCAACCAGAATTAGCATTTTAGATTAGGTTAAGTTAACATTTCACGTTCACAAAATTTCGAGCTGACTCGAACCGAAATATATCTTATAAAGGTAGCGGTACTACAATTTTGGTGTATGCACGTTTGAATCTTATAAAGGTTGAGTTATATACATTATTTTTTATACTTTTTATATTTTATATAATTTGAAATTCTTTGTAACTACACCTTACGGTATAATGTATTACTTACAAATTTTTACGTCTTTAGCTCTATAACAATGTTGAACTATGGAGTTATTATTTAATATTTTTAAATAGTCGATTGCATGTGTTTTACATTTTTTTACCCCAAGAGTGAGGTTACTTAGTATTTTTAAATACTCAAGTCACATGCTACTTCTTTTTCAAATATTTGTGTAGTAACCCATAGGTTAGATCGAGTCGTTTGTTGTTTTATTTAAATTTTTGTTATTTCTATTTCCACTACTTTTGCTTATAACATTGCGGTTTAAATGAGTTTCTTATGTACGATTAAGTTCATGACATCATTTCCACGGTTTAAATGAGTTTCTTATGTACGATTAAGTTCATGACATCGTTATTAAAATATTTTAAAGGAATTTTTCCACGCATAATAGACCTGTCATATATGTGGCAGCTTATTTTTAATAGAAAAATAGAGTCGTAATTAAAGGTTAATTATAGTTGCACTTAACATTTTGAGATTGCAACATTTTAGTTTTATAAACATTCATAACTAGCAAAGAAAAAAGGCATTCCCTCATAAAGATGAGGTTTCTTGTATTAGACGAACACGACTCTCCACAATGGTGTGATATTGTCCACTTTGAGCATAAACTCTCATGGTTTTGATTTGGGCTTCCCCAAAATGCCTCGTACCAATAGAGTTAGTATTCCTCACTTATAAACCCATGATCATTCCCTAAATTAGTCGATGTGGGACTTTCATCATCTAACACCTCCCCTCGAATAAAGTGCACCTCCCCTTAATCGAGGCTCGACTCCTTTGGAGTCCTAGTCA